TATACAGTGTGCTCAGTTCTATCCACTGTAATATAACAACTGCTAAATTAAATACAGTGTACATTGCTCTATCCGCTGTAATATATGCATACACACAAGTTCTCCCTTAACTCGTCTCCCTGGGAGAGAGTCTCTATGGAATGTTCAACCATCCGAATGTCGCCGACTAGAAGGCTGCAGCCTCGGCGTGTTGACCTTGACTTTGTACGGAGCAGTATTTGCCAGGGACGGTGGGGCGAGGTTGAACTTCAACTTCCCTCCTGCCAACAGCGGGGCTTTCTGCTTGAAGAGCCGGTTCTTGAGCCGGAGGAGAGGTGCGTTCTGTTCACAAGTCTGCGGGGATTTCTTGATGACAGGTTCCTTGACGATGTACTGAGGAGAGGACTTGTGACACAGGACGGGCACGCGGCCCTGGTGTTCCACCTGACACGCACGGAGCTCAGGCTGAGAATGATAACTCTTCATGCGGGAACGCTTTCCTGTCTGAGTCTTCCTAAACCCTTCATAGCCCATGTCTTCTGTGGACTTTGTTTTCCCAGAGATGTAAAGCTTAAATCTTGACGCCGTTGTTACTTTGCTAGCCTTTCTGTCTTTTGTGCAAATCAGCATGGCAGCTTCATAGACATCGGTGACTTCTGGTAATTCAACAGAAGTTGCCCCCAAATCTTGAAGGTCACATTGTGAAGTCTTGATAAACAGTGAACTTGGCCTCTGAGCGACATCGTCACACGTAGACCGGCCATCAGATGTTTCGGCAAGGTTGTTAGAAGGCATTGACAGAGTTGACGCCGCCCCTTGTGTTGTCTCCTTCTCTGGTTCTCCCAGTTCATCTCCAGGTGATGTTTTCTGATCACCCGGGCTTCGTTCCCCACCAACATTTTCACAAATATCCACACATTGTGTTTGCCTACTCAACATTCTTGTTATGGACTCGGGTTCAATTTTACTAGACTTTTCCGACCTGAATCTCTTCCAGCGCGCTTTGATGCTTCCGCCATCTTCCTGTTCACCTTGGATAAAACTCGTCAGTTCTGCTCTGTTATCGCTGTCCTTGTCATCCGGCACGGCGAAGGTCTCCATCTCAATGCCGTCTGTCCCGGATTTGTTCTTGAATAATTTTCTAATTTCTCTCAGTTTACTTTTTCTTTCTGTCGCTGTCTTTTCTACGAAATGTGCTCCTAACTTAGTCGGAAGAGACAGGACATTGTGAGCGGCTCTCTGCAGGGAGACTGGCTCACTTCTGCTGGCTTTCACATTAAAGACAGCATTTTCGTCTGGAGGAAGAGATTTTGGAATAAGTTTTTGATTCTCCTCACAGATGTCATCGGCCTCCAGAACATTGTCTCCTGCGCGCGACAAGACGTCATAGCTACTGTCCTGTCCTACCTTCGTCACGGCAAGGTCTACCGTATCGCCTGCGTGCGTGATGACATCAGCATCACGTTCTTTGTCAGTTGATCTATCGTCAGCTGAAGCGACAGCGTCACCCGCATGTTTTATTTCATGTTCACTGTGGAAGCTCTTTATCAGCATGGGTCCTTCCGGCTTAATTAGGTCAAAGTTCCCTTCACTTTTGCATCGGATGACTCTATCCATGTCGGCGTTCTTTAGAGAAAGTTTTTCGTTGGCGGACGACGAAGACCTGCAAATGCCTACCTTCACGTTTGCTGTGGACAAGACGGTTCGCCCGTTAGAAATGTACAGATCGCTCTGGCAATGCGCCACATATGTGTCACCACTGCAGCAGTCATTCAGAAGGTCAATGCGTGTGCTGTTACAAAGTAATTTGCTATGTGTCGCTTCGTACTCATCATCGTCTATATGGTGATTATAGCGTATGTAGGTGCAGTTTGTCTTTCTTATAGGTAGTGCCCGGAAGATAGTAACCGGTGGTGCTAGCTGTTTGAAAAGTGGCGAGTTATCTAGTGTGCAGGTTTCACAAGACAGCTCAGATGGCGTGGTGTACTGCTCGACCTGGGTGTCGGACGTCTCTTCGTTGTCGACAAGGACACGCCGGCTCTCCGACCTGTTCCTGATGCAGTTGAAGAAGCCGAACTGACGGTGAAACCCCGGCACCAAACAGCCTGCAGCGCTCATCGTGTCGGGGAGGCTGGGTTTAGTCTGAAATAAAACGCAGATGTAGCGGATAGTGGGAGCTGAATGGATCCATGAGTATATTTGCAAGATCGTACACATGTATGTTGTACGTGATCGGGCATTTCTGACCTGTACTATGTGGAAGGCGGCACACTTGGTCACCCTACCGTTACAATGAGATCAAATATATGTGTCTGTTTTGTTAGCTATAGCTATCTACTATAACGGGATTTTAACCACCAAAACAGATGACCTGATACGAAAACTTTGGATTTGGACCTGATACGAAGACTTCATTAGGGCGTAGAATATGTACTGCGTAGAATGAGATCTTATTTGGCCAAATGAGAGACGTCTCAAATATCGTCATTTGTCATCTCATTTCAGTCTATAATATCATCAACTGACTCGTAACCCTGTTAGTATCTAGATTGCAAAGCTGGTCACGTATGACAGAACATCAGTAGACAGGACGGACCCACAGTATTTCATTAGGACAGAGATAATACTGTTAAGGTTGACAGATGGGTGCAGACTGTCGTCGAGACGCCCTGGCATGTCATATCAGACCAGTCATCTTGTAGTCTAATTGGAGCTAGATTGAAACTGGATTTTATCGAACGTACGAGACACAGTCATTACATGTTGAATCTTAATACATGGTATATGAGGGGCATACATATAAAAAACATCAAGACAGGTATTGCATGGTATACTTTGCACCAGGGATGTCAAGATACCTCTTGACTGTTCGGATAATTGTAACGTACTCACGGTCCTCTTTCTGTTTTACATAGGGTGTCTGGCCCACAGCATCAAGGGTTTTTTAATAGTCAGATATAGTCAAATTGCGGTGTGGAGGCAGGGGAAATCAGACGTCTGCTTCCTATGATTAATTTGTCGTAAATATATGTACGCTCCTTTGAATTTTTGTTTTGCACACATTATCTTCTGTCCATATTCACATTCTGCACTGGAAACAAAGTATGCTGACAGATACACGTCAGGTAACCCACAGCGCACGCCAAGTCAAACCAATAATAACCAGTATCAGTTTAGGCTGATCAGTATCAGAACTGGTGAAATGTTCTGTGCCCCCGTAAAATTTAACAGTTCTGCGTCCCCGTTTAAAAAAAGGGGGCATGTGCATGTTGACACCATGGCGCATCTGATCTATTTTAGGGTGGGAACTTTAGAAAGGTTCACCGGGTCATCACGATGCCCCCGGGACGCGATAGGCATGAATCATTTAAGGCTATATCAGGGTTATATAAAGGGAGGAAGATGATATCACGGGGCATAGCGTGCTGGAAGCCGAGATCAATAAACCGGCTTCACTCGAGTACTGTTCACTCGGCCGGCACCATTCTGGCCAAATCTACGGACATTTTCTGTGATCTTTTGCATGAAAACAACCTGAAAATATTCTGTAGCACATTAAAACATACGATAATGTCAAGATTTCTGCAGCGCCATGCTATCAATAACGAACAAAAATAATCGTCCCGACATTTAATAACTATTATCCCAATAATAAATGTCCCTATATTTAGATGCTATCATAGACGGCAGTACCAGGCATCGTGCTGTTTGCTCTATGACGGCATGATTAGATGATTTTAAAGAATAACAACACCTGCACTGACCTGTATGCTGCATGTTGACGGGGGCAGGGTGCGCTGAGATGCGGGTAGATGTGATATCTTGGCTGGAGAGCTGTCCCCTTGGCACGGCGGTCATGATTCTCATCGCTATGTCAGGGGCAAACCACTATGATTGTCATAGGGAGGTTTCTTCCAGGGACGGCACAAAAATATTTCGATCAGTTACTGAAGTCATAGAAGCGTGTAGTTTCATTCAAATTGTGCATTTAATGATGACACAAACGGCACAATCAGCAGGGAAAATCTCCACCAAAAGTCAGACATTCTATCAGCCTATACGTCATCGCCAGCTGGTAGCCCCAGAATAGCCCATGGATGGTCAACAACGGAGGTGGGGGTGGGGAATAATATTTGAACGTTTTATCCATGTAACGTTTGAATAGAAACTCTGGATGGATTCATACTTTGCTTCAGCAACACCCTCCCATCCACAATACTCGGTGAACCGCCCCCTATCTATACCGTCGATATGCTATACGGGCGCGGTGTACATAACAACGTGGCTGATAAGGGTCTCTCCGGCATGTCTGGCGTCCTTGTCTGTGACGACATGTACATGTACAGATGTGTGACTATCCACGTGAATGTTGAGCTATATCATAACACTATGGTAAGAAAATTCAAACTGACACCATAGTTATTTTGCCACAACTACACCTCAGAATATCTGTCAGTATTTTCCCGGAAATTTATGCTGCTCTATAATATTATGATTTCTAAAATGTTTGTCTGATTAGTTGTGTGATGACTAACTCTGGCTCAGCCTATGTGATACCTGGTTAAAACGAAACCTGCCCACTATTTTTTCCTCATACTTTAGAAACACATAGCTTGGAGTTAGTAAACATTGTAAACAATTTATCAAAGATTTATTAGTAATCTTTCGTCTCACGGGCTATTACCAAAAGAACTGGGACGCAAGAACGACGCATCTACACAGATTTGGAGACACAAGTCTTTACCATCTTCCTGGGATCGATGCATTTATTCTGTTCGATATAATATACTGTGAGTATTCGCATGTGTTTACATCATCTTCATTTCATGCAATTTTGCAGCAGAGGACATTGTACGCTGCTAGCATTCCAAGACATGCTTGTTTCTTATGTTAAATTATATGCTCTATACACAATTACCTAATACATGCTGTTTACTATTGCATTCATCTGACTTTTCTTCCAGTCATATTCGCTACACTTTTTCCTCCAGCTGTTGCTTCTGCTGATCCAGCCTGGTAGACCAGCCAATGATGCCGTCCAGGCAAGTGGCCAAGATGATGAACAGTGTTGTCAGGAGATACAGGGTCATGAAGAACTTATCCATGACGCGGGCCACGCGCTTCCAGTCGTTCTCCAGCCCCTGTCCCTCCCGCTCGTCCTCCAGGTGACTGACGATGTTGCGCACGTCTCGCACCAGGTCCTCCATCAGGAGCTGCGGCATGTTGGGCTTTCTGGAGAAACACATTCCAACCACAACTCTCAAGCAAGAAACTCATTGAATCTGAAACTGGTTTACAAGGACATTAGCTTCTGTCTGCTATGACTGACAAAAACAGTATTGGAAGCAGAACTTCTGCACCTCGTGATGAGGAAGACCGATGATGATGATGATGATGAAGAACCAATGTGTGAAGGTATGTGTGGCATGGCTTCTACTGACGGTACAAATCATAAACCGAGCTAGTGCTCTAAAGTTTCTGGTAGTTGCCTAAAGGAAAATTTTCTTCAGTGAATAAAAAATAATTCCATGGTCACGAGGGTACAGAACAATGGGCCCTTCCTGAATATCAACAGAAGTTTTAAGCACTAAAGTGATGCTAGCTGATTTGCTACACAAAAATGATCTGGTAAAAGCTCGGATTGGCCATACCCCTCCATCTTGTTAAGTCCTTCCGGGTACTCCCCGGGCTCACCAGCGCTTGCCCGAATGATCCGCATGGTGCTGTCATCTAGGACCTTCTTTTCTGGATCGTCTTCCTCCTGAAACAGATTTATGTGTAATTCACTAAACAAGGCAGCATGAAGAGGGATAGGCTAATTGGGTACAGCATTTTAGTTCATAGAAGCAAGAAATAGTGTCATGAATTAGATATTTTTTTACTGTAAGCTACTAGTATAGTTACTTCCATGTTGTTTCTCTAGCTTGTTGCTTTACCTCCTCCTGCTTGACAGCCACGGATCCACTCAGATCCCCCATACAGAGCATGAGGCTCATGTAGCGGAGAACGAGACGACGGACCCAGGCAGGAACAGGCTTGGTGTCAGCCGTACAGATGCTCAGGTTGACCACAATGGAGCCCAGCAGCAGGGACAGGGACAAGAGGACCAGCGTTACGATCACGTACCAAGCTGGGAACAAACATGGACTGGTTAGGAGATGCTGTTGAGACCAAACGCCTGATGAAATTGTCATCTCTGATACAAACATATTTTTGTCAAATTCTCCACTTTGATACTAAGCTCAGTAGTGCCTTGTATACATCTGATACTACATCAGAATAAAAGTACATGAAGTTGATCTTCAAGCCCAAATGAAATGAAGAGGCCTTAAAAGTGATTGATACTTACATACTAAGGGCACATTTTCACTCACTGGCATCTGCTCGGCAATCATGAGCAGGAAGACTGACAGGGCCAGCAACACGGTCACCCCAAAGGATATCTGTAAAACATTACTGCAACTTGTAAAATATAAGTACAAGTTTACTGATGGTCGGCCACGTAGCAAGTTATATATTAAGAATACCCCAAAATATATGGTAACATTCAGTTTATCATAATAACATCATACCTTGTCCCCTGACTCTGCCGGCACGTAGAAGCTCAGTGTTGCCAACACGGCCAACAGGAAGCAGGGAAACAGCAGGTTGAAAAAGTAAAAGGACCATTTCCGCTCCATAGCCAAAATAAACGTAGCCTCATCAAAATGTGATGACCCATACTCCTTCACCTTAAAGATGGGACTGAAAGACGCAACCTGCCACTCAGCATGCGGCTTTAAAACCTGCAAAGGACATATTATGCAATCATTGAACAAGACGTCAGGTCTGAATAGATTATCAACAGCGATTTCTGATGAAAATTTTGTAAAGCTTTCATCTTAGCCACAGTAGGGGTTACCACCAAACTTCCTGTGGTCTTGTTGCGGCCAAGCTTGATCGATGATCTGTCGTGCAGCCACGATCCGAACTTGAGTGGACATGCCTGCGCGTCGAAAGGAAAGTTTGTGACGTCGACGTCACAGCTGGTGGACGCCACGATGGGGAAGGCCCAGTACACTGTTCCATCACTGTCCACTCTCACCAAGTCAACGGGCCAACCACTGAACCCCTGGTCAACACTGTAAGGATATAGGTATATCAAAGGGTGTCCCTACATTGTGCTGAATACAAAAACGAAACCTTTCTAGTTCTGTACACCACTAGCATAGAACCCATGTGTGTGATGCTGTCTACCATTGGAGAATAATGTTATATACAGGGAAAGACTTGTGGAAAAATAAGTAAGCAAGGAACGTACGTAACTCCGAATCCAGTAGCAATACATAAACAGATTGTATAAATAGGGCAAATAAAGCCAATATTCGCGTACTTTTCGAAGAGAACAATATCAGGTCTCCAGATTTCGTCTGCCCGGATGGTCATATTCGTCATGCCGTCATAATCACCGGGATCCCACTGCAGATTGATGTCCTTCCAGATCTGCAACATTACAGGTAAAGGTGCAACCGGAAAGGTTGTTTGGGAGATTGGAAGGCAAATATTGTAAACGTCAAACATTTTAGGCCTTTATGACGTTATACTCACCATTTTCATCCAGATTTTGCTGTTCAAAACTTGTTCAGGTTCATTCTGCAAGGGATAAGAGGAGCACTTTGTGATGTGATGTCACTCATTGTCTCACTTTTTTATTATTGTAGGACTACCAGTATCCTCTTCACTGTGATACCTCCACATCCGGTAATTGTACTCTCTACACCATGTCGTTATTGCACTTAACAATCAAATGAAGGCTTACAAAGCAAACGGTAGAATTAAATGTGTTATCACTGCTTCAAAACATGTTTCTTGGAACATATCTTAGATGCATTTCTTAATTGAAAACATAGAACGTTCTGACGTTGCAATAGAAACGATGATTGGTGACACCCAAGACAGATACTGAGATGACTGTGACTCATGTACACATCGATGTAAGCCTAATCTATATCAAACTCCGTGAATGCTTCCAACACACAATTGCGTTAACTAGCTTTAAAGACTTGCAGTCTCATGTGAAAGTAACTTAACAATAAACGCATATTATCTGTAACAACATTGCCGCTCCTTACTTTTCCGACGAGCTGTCAGTAATAACAAGATTCGTCATACCCAAGAGAGTTGTTATGTTCAGAAAATATAATGTTTGTTGGGAATGCTATGGTGAATGGCCAGTTAATCCTAGCTGTTATCTCATTTACAACGGAGTTTGGCCATTAATGTTAGAACTCGGATGACTTCAGCCATTAATGTTCGCATGACTTCTGACATCATCTTTACATTGAATTGCACTTAAGGTCTCAGAAATCAATACGTTCCCAGTAAGTTCTGTACGTGCTAAGCCTTCTAACTATATTATCTGGGATATTATTAGATGATGACAACGTGCACTTCTACCCTTTTAAGCGTGAGAAACGATTTCTTTTTGGGTCAGTGACATAATCCTGTTGATACAGGCAGCCTACCTCCGGTTCCTATAACTCTCATCTGAGCATCCTGACTGTAGTTAAGGCAGTAAAGGGTGCGTGTACCAAATGAAAATATCGTTTTGTTACTTGTCGCCTACTTGTGCAAAGTCATCTGCCAATCTGTAAATCATTGGCATGTTGATAGTACTATTCTGAAGCGTTAGAATCAGCAAGTGTTAGAATCACCAGCGTATTACTAGTAAGACATGGATACACACCAATATGCCAGAAAGGATTGCCTGATAATAGAATAAAGGTTTGACAATCCTGACACATTAATGTTTCCCTGGATGTTAGTGTACGGTGTTTTAAGATATGTTAACAGTATTTTACCAGGTCAATGATCTGCTCCAGGGCCAGGTTAATGCTGACCTCCACACTCTCATTGGCACGGTTAACCGGCAGAACGTCGCTGTTGTAATCGGAATCCGTGAACAGTTTCTTCAGCAGGTCTTTTTGTGAGCCAAGTGACAATGTACCTAACGAAATGAAGTTAAATAGAAGCATATGGTGTATGTGGATTCTTGTAATATGATAGGTAAATCAGCGATCGTTGCTGTTTCGCATGTTGTACACAGTTTTTGTAAAACTGGAACCGTTGCCTCCAATATGTTGAAAGCAAGTCTTCACAGATAATGTTTTGTAACGTTTCCACAGCCGCAATATATGATGAACATTGTGATTATTCCAGAAAGTCTAAAGATTCTGTTCTATACCAGGTGTGGCCATGGTTTATCATAACCAGCTGCATGTTAAGAAAGCTGATAAAAGTTACAGGTTTCTGCACTAGATGTGTTTCTATTGAGAATGCCAACTTACAGTTCACTTCGCAGCTGATGAATTTGCGGCAAACATACATATCTAGTGTTAGAAACGCCTAATCAATCAGTTAACGCACAGGAGAGTACAATTTAATTTCTTAGCTAAGTTAAACAATAACATTCAAACATCTATAACATGTAGCAACTTACTTTGGATCGAGGCCCAAATACAGAGGAGGTGAACACTCCAGTACACAACATGTCGGAACATTTTGCTGGCTCAGGTGATTGTTACGGATGGTTCTTAAAGCACCCAGCGGTGCCACGATTGCCCCGTGTGAGTGGCGAACATATCTATTTATATCATGGCCTACGTGCACGTCAAGTTAATTAGATTTTAGAATGCATAATTTATGTTTATAGACAAATTCGTCATATCATACAAAGTCCGTCGACGAGGGAATATCACACAATTACTTCTTAATTGTAAACACGTACTTGGCTTTCAGTTACAATCGTGTATTGAACGATTCCATAGGGTAAAAATGTCCAACCTTGAACTAGTCTGAACTGAAAACATGAAAGATTATGAAAACCTGGAATTTATCATTTAATAATTTGATATTAAAACTTAAGCAAGTTATTCCTCTATCTCCTGTAGAATATACTCCTGATAGAGTAACAGATGCCCTGGATTCCTACTCTACATTCTGAAACGTGTTTGGATCCTTTCTAATGATCTGTGTGCTAATCAAATGTCGCGAAAATGAACATGGAAAACACTAGGGTATATGATCGTGTGTAGAGAACGTCAGCTGACCTTTCAATATCAAATATAACCCGAGATAAGTTTTACACATCGTCGTGTAAAACGTCCGAGATGTCGATTTCCGATAGTAAGGACAGTGTCAGTGAGTGATACATTCATACATATCATGTAATACATTTACAGTGCATTTGCTCCCATTAAGGCCTTTTGTAGACCAGATATTGAATATTCTAACCCAATTTTCCTCCATGAGACAGAGGTCAAGAACTTAATTCGTTTCGTCCATTTGACCAAACTCCATTTTAGGAATCGATTAATTGAGTTACTAGTATGTAGCATGTTATTACTAGCTGGCCGGAAGCGAGAAAGAACTCATTCAATGCATGAGCATCGATGAATGATTTGCACAATAAACAACCAAGGATGAGTGATAGAGTTTAGTACTTGATATCTTTATTATGGAATAGCATGTTCACCTAGTTCTAGTTTCCTGGTTGACGTTGCTTTACATTCGTCAGCCGTGGTATTCAATGCCCTGGGCATTCCTTTTTCAAAACATATTTCTGGAAAGTGACATTTTTACCTCTGTATATAGACGCCTAACTCTCTAATACAATAGTATAAGATTGCACAGTATGTACACAAGTAGTGTTTGTAAATGTCAATGAGTTTTAAATGTGAATGAGTTATATTCCGGAGGTGAATAGCTCTCTCGTGCCTACGCCGTGCGTCCCTGCCTGTGGTGCCTACGCCGTGAGTCCTTGCCTGTGGTGCTTACGCCGTGCGTCCCTGCCTGCGGTGCCTACGCCGTGAGTCCATGCCTGCGGTGCCTACGCCGTATGGCCCTGCCTGCGGTGCCTACGCCGTGCGTCCCTGTCTGTCGTGCCTACGCCGTGCGTCCCTGCCTGTCGTGCCTACGCCGTGTGTCCCTGTCTGTCGTGCCTACGCCGTGTGTCCATGCCTGTCGTGCCTACGCCGTGTGTCCCCTGTCTGCGGTGCCTACGCCGTGCGTCCCTGCCTGTCCGTGCCTACGCCGTGTGTCCATGCCTGCGGTGCCCACGCCGTGTGTCCCTGTCTGCGGTGCCTACGCCGTGCGTCCCTGCCTGTCGTGCCTACTCCGTGTGTCCATGCCCGCGGCGCCTACGCCGTGTGTCCCTGTCTGCGGTGCCTACGCCGTGCGTCCCTGCCTGTCGTGCCTACGCCGTGTGTCCATGCCTGCGGTGCCCACGCCGTGTGGCCCTGCCTGCGGCGGAAGACGAAGCGCGGGTTCCTGTCGGGCAGCAGCACCAGACTAAAGACCTGCCCCAACTCCGCCTCCTGGCACTCCACATGGAACCGCTGCAAGATCTGGGGAGGAAGGAACTAAGAGTGTCAGGAACTAAACGTGGACAAATAGGAAAGAGAACGAAGAAAACGTTATTTTAACAAAATTCAACTCGATCTTATGATGATATAGGTCAGTTGCTTACCCGGATAATCAGGAGCTGTAGCTGCTGCTCGGCAAACCGCCGGCCTGATGGAAGAAAATGAACTTTTTAAAAAGTGAATTTCATTTTTTTTCAAATACAAATACTCGTAAAATCCCCGTATAATTCCAGACTTACATATTTCTCAAACAACAGATGATTTGTCCCCCCAAAAAATTAGTAATCATAGACCTCGTTTTCTACTTACCGATGCACATGCGCACTCCGTGTCCAAACGGCATGAACAGGTACGGCGGAACTGGTGACGTGTTCTCGTCACGGAGCCAACGGGTTGGGTCAAAGGTCAGTGGATCCGTGAAATACCTCTCCTGGCGGCACATGACGCGATGATGTACCAGGATTTCAGTCTGGCAAGAGAGGTAAACAAAGATGTCCGTTAAATATTGTAATTTTGTATCATATATTGACCATACATAACTGTTTGTGATTATGTCTAGCTTGTCAGTGCAAAAAGTATTCAAAATTAAAGCTATTAAGTAAGTGAACATAAAACACATGAATCCATCAAGGTGTCACCGTGCTAGAGTGTTGTTCATACGATGTGATTAGGGACTTACCTTTGCAGGCACGTCGTAGCCACCTAGAACAACGTCATAGTCATACAGTCTGGGGTTCCCAAAAATTACCGGCCACAATCTACGGAGACCGAGAAAATAAATAGTTTTATGATGTTAGTCGATTGTTTAATTGTAGAGGATGTTTTTAAATCAGAACAAAAGCAGTACCATAGCAGATCAATAAGATTACTTTGTTGGTAGTTTGTGCTATAGGAAATGAAACGCCAACGAAACTGTCTCCAAACAATTTGGTTTTGGCCGGAGATGTTCCGACACTCTCCCTCACCTCAAAGTCTCCTTGATGACTGCCTTAAGATACTTCATTTTCCTCAGGACCTCGGGCGTGACCGGCGCGCCCTCGGGCAGGTGGGTACGGATCTCTCGGTAGACTAAGTCTTGAACCTCCGGGTTTTTGGCCAGGGCGAACAGACTGTACATCATGCCATTGGTGGTCTGGATGGAAAGAAAATATATTTCAATATTTTAACAATGGCTTTCAGTAGACATAACCAATAATAAGAATGCCAGAATGTTAAAATGATTACCGGACTCGTATTTATTAGAATTGCTTCATTATGGGTTCACCACACCACGAAGTGGTGTGGTGAAACCATATTGCTTTTTCTGATGTTTCTTCTTCTTCTCCTCCTCCTTCTCCTCCTGCCATTTTTTAAATGGATTCAGCTTCTTCATTTTAGGGCCCAAGGTCCTGAAATTTGGTATGGAGGTACAGTGGGCAAATACCCCTAGGCGTTTTTTAAATTATTGTGATACAGGCTTTTAGAATGGTTTTATTTGAGTTTTTTGGCTGTATTATAGCAAATGTATTACTGCGTTAGTGTACCGTGTTTACCACGTCTGGGCATGAGTCATCACAATGGAATGCAGGGCATCAACCAATAGGCATGCAGCTTTCCTCTATACTTCTTGCTGATTGGCTGTTGGGATTTAACTTGATTAACACAAGCACAGAGCATTTCCACCTGCACAGAGCATTTCTTGCTGATTGGCTGTTGGATTTAACTTGATTAACACCTGCACAGAGATTTCCATACTGACAGTATGTCTTTATTCAAGTTGTTTTGGTAGGTATTTCAAGCTTTTCTGCTCCAGCATTGGAATGCGGGCATGTAACGTTTTTTATTTATTTTGAAAATCAACAGTTTGCATTATGCAATTAAAAATCCTAACCAATAAAGTAGGAAATAGCTATCCAACTGTTGTTTTAGTTGTATGTTACTTCA